CCACATACCTCTTGCCCACAGTTGCAAAATCTTCTGCATTATCAACATCACTCACCAGAATGGTACTTTTTTATCTTTAACCAAGAATTAAACATACATGGACACATCATAATCACCCAAAGTTCATAGTTTATATTATGGTTCACTCTAGGTGTTTTATGTTCTGTTTGTTGGATGAATGTGTAACGACATCCACCCGCTGTTGTAGTATCATAGGGGTTGTTCTCACTGTCCTAGAAATCCTCTGCTCTGCCTGTTCATCCCTGCCTCTTTCCTCCCTGGCAATCACTGATTTTTTTACTGTCTCCATAGTTATGCCTTTCCCAGAATGTCATGCAGTTGGAATCATACAGTATGTAGCTTTCTCAGATTGGCTTCTTTCACTTAGTAACATGTCTTTAAGGTTCCTCCATGTCATTTCATTTCTTTTTAGCGCTGAATAATATTTCATCGTCTGTATGTACCAATTTATCCATTCACCTACTGAAGGACATCTTGGTTGCTTCCAAGTGTTGGCAGTTATGAATAATTATAAATATCCATGTGCGGGTCTTTGTGTGGACATACGTTTTCAACTCCTTTGGGCAGATTCCAAGGAGTGCGATTGCTGGGTCATATGGTGAGAGGATGCTTAGTTTTGCAAGAATCCGACAGACTGTCTTCCAAAGTGGCTGGACCATTTTGCATTCCCACCAGTAAATGTTCTTATTTTTGTTTTTCCATATTCTTTAAGGTTCCTTTTAAGTTTTAAAATTCTGTGATTTAAATTTCTTTTTTTATCCTTGAATCATGGCTTCTTTTAAAATACTTGCTCTGTATATTTTTTCTAAAAGAAGAAATGTATTTTTACTGAAGAATATCTGAAGAGTACATGAAAGTATAAAGAAGAAACATTACTGATGTATTTTCTTTCCCTTTTTATATAGTTGTATCTATTATGGTGTATATATTCTTTTAAAAATAATGAAATATTTCAAGTGTGAAGAAAAGTGTAGAGAGTAATCTTTGGAACACTTATGTATGTCCAATCCATCTTTGTCAAATAGTTACATTTTTTGCTATTAGCTTCAAGTCTTTCATTTTATTTTTTAAGAACGAAACATAGATACAATTCAATCTCCCAGTGTTACCCCTCACAAATTTTTCTTTCCTTCCCCTTTCTCTCCCCTTCCCTTTCTTCCTCCTTCTCTCTTCCCTTCCTATTCAGAGGTTGTCATTCCTGTGATGTATATATCATACGCAATATACATTATTGCATATGAAAACTTTATATACTGTACATATCCTTCTGCAACTTGCTTTCTTTGATCGATCTTAGTTTTTTTTTTTTTTTTAGCTGAGCCATCCTGCCACCTGTTGGCAGCTCAGTAGCAGCTCAGCTTGGGCCGGGACTTGAACTGCTGTTGCTTAGAGCTCACACTCTTGAGTGAGTTCTTAACCAACTGAGCCACTTGGCCAGCCCCGATCTTAGTTTTTTAGATATTGTCATGTTGGTACACGTGACTTGTAATTATTTATTTATTTATTTATTTTTTTTAAAAAGATTTTTTTGGGGAATTGGGGGGAGGGTAACAGCATTGGGGAATCGGGAAAGGGGAACAGACAGTTGCTGTCCTTTTGTTCTTCAGTCTAGTTGTGGAGGATGTCGCTTCACTGGCCCATGTTGGTATGATCATTGTGCTCTTACCGGATGAGGCAATCAGTCGCCGGTTGTTGGTTGGCCACTCACAGCGGCTCCCGGTAGCTCACACCGGCTACCAGCCGCTCACGCTGGCTGCCAGCCACTCACGTAGCTCACGGCAGCCCATTGCAGCCCTGCTGCAGCCTACGCCGTCCCAGGCGACTCACAGCAGCCCACCTCTAGGTCGAGGTGTTGTTCACCATCTTAGCTGTAGAGGGTGAGCGTCACTGGCCCTCAATGTGGGATCTGAACCACAGCCCTGCTGCTGAGAGCTGGTGCTCCCAAGCGAGCTCTTAACCAGCTGAGCCACTCGGCCGGCCCTCTTATTTATTTTTAATGTTGTATAACCCTGCCTCAGTTTCTTGATCCATTCTTCTGTTGACTGACATTTAGACTGTTTCCATGTTTTGCTTCTACTGACCCTGTGGTTATGAACAGTTGTTTACATGGGTCCTTGTGTTTCTCTCTCCCTTGGGAGAGTTTTTCTCCAGGACAGTGATACACAAAATGTGGTCTGAGGACTGAGGAATTACTTCTTGTAAATAGGGAGCTTGCGGCAGAATGTACATCAACTATCGTTGTTAACTATTTAACATTTCCTCCCCTAGTGAAGGAAGCAGTGTTCCATATCTCTTTGCTGAGTGGTGACAAACATTTTACTGCTGGGTTACTTTGAATAGTGCTGCTCTAGAGTATGTTTCCCTGGAGTGGAATTGCCAGGTTGAAGGGCATATGCCTTTTTAACTCTACTAGGGATGAACTCACTAGAGGTTTGTTCTTCAGAGGTCAACATCAGGCACACCCATCAGCAGTGAAGTCAAGTACTTGGTTTGTTTCCAGCCTTTGCCAACATTTGATATTATTAGATTTGAAAAGTTTTTGTAATGTGAAGGGTGCGAAATTATACCTCGTGTTAATTTTGCATATTCCTTATCAGTCTGAGCGTCTTTTTATGTGTTATTTAGTATATGAGTCTTATCTCTGAATTGACTGCTTATTCAGATATTATCGTTTTTCATTTAAAATTTTGGATTAATTTGATTTTTCTTGATTTGCAGGAATTTTTAAAGTATTCTGCATTCATTTTTTTAAATTTAAAAACATTGTAGCTATAGCTTATCTTTTCACTTTATGGCGTGTTTACAATATTTAAAGATCTTATCCTATTAGTTTATGTTTTGTGCTTGAGTTTTAATTTTCCCTTTTCAGTTTTCTTTTAAAACCTTTAAAATCTTGCTTTTTACCTATATGTCATTAATCTACATGCAAGGGATTTTTAGATTTTTTTTCCCCCACTGCGTTGGGTTAACATATGTTTTCCAGTCCTCATTGACTAGTCCAGTTTTTCTTTCCTTAGTTCTTTTGACTGTGTTCCCAAGTTTTCTAGTTTTGTTTATTGCCTATCATTCCCTTTTTTTGGGCTCTCCTTCCTATGTCTTTAAATGCTGTTGTCTTGAGCAAGCTGTTTCAGGCCTTCTGGTAGGTTCTTTCAGTGTGCAGTTACTACATACGCTACATGTGTGGTAAACCTGTGCAACATCCCTGACTCTCCCTTCTTCACTATTCCCATGACCAGCAAGGTCTGACACATAGTAGCATTTCAGTGAATACTTGAATGAGTGCATGAGTGAATGATCTACATAGTGGGTGCTGAGCCTTGAAGGAGGGAGAATTTAGAAAGCAGGGAGGAGGTAGGGTGACCTGCAATTTGACACATTTGGTGTTAGCTTCATGTTCATAGAAACAAGCTTTCTAGAGTGTTGTTTTCTGACCTTTGAATTTGTGTATTTTTCTGTTTTGTCATAAATACCACCTGAATGAGACAAATTCTTACGATCTTTGGGTGCTTCTCTGTAACAGGGCTGCCTGTAGTATATGTCGTATAGTGCCCTAGAGAAAATAGGGTCGTTCATTGTGGTTGACAGTTGCCTGGGGTAGGCAAGGATTTTTAGACTGAAGGCCAGCAGATCCTAGATCCCATTCTATTTCTTACTCTGCTACTAATAACCTCTGTGACCTTAGGTGAGTCCTTAAAACTCTTTGTGCATTTTATGTTTATGTTTATGTTTATGTCTTCAGTCTTCTCCAACTGTGAGTCCAGTAGGAATCTTTCTTTGTATAAGTTTCAACATAAAATTTTTTTCTTGGCTTGGGTGGTGGTTATATAGGTGTTTATAACATTTCGTTTAACTAATATTTGTGTTTTGTACATTTTTCTAAATGTTTAATTTCACAATGAAAAAGATGTAAAAACTCACAAAAGACTAGGTTTCCTACATCCCTCCATGTGCAGAAAAAACCAAAATAACCCAGCTGGATTATACTTGAATGCAGAAAGCAATGATCATAAGAGCTAGAAGAAAACACAGATAAATGTGTCAGGGGTCTCCAAGACCACCCTTAGGTTCATTGTTTTGCTAGGAGGATTCACAGGACTCAGCATATGTTTGTACCTCTAAGGCTTATTACAGTGAAAAGATACAAAGCAAAATCAGCAAAGGGGAAAGGCACATGGGACGAAGTCTGGAGGAAACCAGGTGAGCGCTTTCGAGCCCTCTCCCACTGGAGCCACCAGGACATGCTTAACTCCTCTAGCAGTGAGTTGTGGCAGCACGTGTGAAATGTTGTCTACCAGAGATGCTCATTAGAGACTTAGTGCTGAGGGTTTTTTTTATTTTTTATTTTTTTTTAATTGGGGTATTGGGGGGATGGGAACAGTGCTGGGGAATTGGGTGAAGGGGAACAGACAAGTTGCTGTTGTTTCGTTCTTCAGTCTAGTTGTGGAGGACGTTGCTTCACTGGCCCATGTTGGCACCATCATTGCGCTCTTCCCAGGTGAGGCAGATCAGTCGCCGGCTTCTGGACGGCTGCTCACAGCGGCTGCTGGCCGCTCACGCTGGCTGCTGGTTACATACAGTAGCCCATGGCAACCCACTGCCACAGGGGCTGCAGCCTACGGCAGCCCAGCTCCAGGTCGAGCTGCTGTTCAGCATCTTAGCTGTAGAGGGCAGTGTCACTGGCCCTCATATGTGGGATCCGAACCGGGGCCCTCTGGCACCCCAAGCCAGTTCTTAACCATCGCGCCACTCGGCCGGCCCAGTGCTGAGGGTTTTTATTTGCTGCTGGTCACGTGGGCACCTTGTGCCTAACATGTACCTACATCCCATATTCCCAGGAGGAAAGCAGGTGTTCAGCACGGACTATATTTGCTTGTACAGTTTAGGCACAGTGAGTCATGCTCATCAGTTCTGGGAATGGTGGGAACCAAGTTTCTAGATGCCAGCCACGGGCCAGCCATGGCCAGCAAAGACTCCTAAAGGTACCAGTCTCAGGCCTGCTATGTTCACTCTTTTCTGCAGAATATTATATTTTTGTATTATCTTGCAGTGAAAAAGGTATTTCTAAGCATGACTAGAAACTCAGAAGCCATAAAAGGAAGGAATGGTAAGTTTATATTTAAAAAAAAAAACTTAGATATGAAAAGAAAGAAAGTGATATAGAGTCACAAGGCCTACTAGGAAAAAAGTATTAGTAATGTGTGGGAGAAAAGGGGGAGATTTTTCCAATATATAAACGCTTTTATAAGTCAGCAACTCAAAAGAATAATGAGTAATTTGCTGAAGAAGATATTTCAAATGACCAATAAATATTTGAAATGATACTTTACCTCAGTAATAAAATAGATATAAAGTAAAACAACTGTGATCATTTTTCACTTATCATATTCAGCTAATATTGATTACTTACAGCCTTTGTAAGATTGATTACTCAGTGTAGGAGTGTGTAAAGGGAAATTGGTACTTGCATATGCTGCTGGTGGTATAAATTAGCACAGCCTTTTTGAGGGGCATTTTTCCAAAAACTATTAAACTTGTTGACATGTCTACCCTTTGACTCAGCAGTTCCATTTCTAGGGTTTTAGCTTATAGAAACCCGTATCAGTACACAGATACAGATGGATAAGGAAGTTCTTTGGAGCGTTGTTTGTAGTACTGTAAAACTGGTAATAACACAAATGGAGGGTTAGTTAAATAAATTATACTACTTCTATAGGCAAAGTTGCCATGTAGCCATGATCAGTTAGATCTTTATGTAGTGCTATGGAAAGATATTTAAGATTTTTTTAATATATGCAAACATTTTTTATAGTATTTAGTATTGAAACCTGATCTGAATGGATATGAAGCTCTTTATAATCTTTTTTTTTTTTTTTTTTTAGCTGAGCCATCCTGCCACCTTTTGGCAGCTCAGCAGCAACTCAGCTCAGGCCAGGCATCGAACCGCTGTTGCTCAGAGCTCAAACTCTTGAGCGAGCTCTTAACCAACTGAGCCACTCGGCCGGCCCCCTTATAATCTTTGATGATCCCACTTAATGTCAGGGTCCATATGTTTTATTGCAGAAATATGAATGTATTTGATTACAAGTACTGCCCTAGAGCCAACCCATGGGGTAGATGGAGTTATTTGGGATTAGCAGCATACACACTTTATTATCATTCAAAGATTTGAAAATATTTGAGACATGGACTGCTTCAAGGGTTTTAGATAAAAGATTTGTGTTAACTAAAAAGATAAAACAAAACTAAAATATATGTGTCATTCCAGTTTTTAGGTTAAAATAATGTTAGTGTATGAAGAGGAAAAAATAGTAGTTCAGAATATATTCCCCATATTGAACAGTGATTATTTGAGGGTATGGCAGTGTCATTAATTTTCTCATAAGTGAAATTAATTCAATATGAGGTTGAATGGGACAAATAACATCTTAATTATGGAGAGGATAGAACTTGCTCCTGATTCTGAAGTACTATTTGTCATATCAGACACTTGTGATGACTCTGAGAATCTCAGTTCCTACAACTAAAAACTGAGTCTTTGTTTTAGATTTCTTTTGTGTTTTTGGAACTTTTGGTTTACTTTATCTCTTGTTTCTGAATAGATACTTTTGGGGACCCAGGCCTAAGCTGGATCATCACTTTTACGAGGCTGTGTTTCCAGGGTTGAGGGTAAAGGCACAAGGTTCAGTTTCTTTCTATGCCTCTAAAAACAGGATCCATAGACCATACTGCTGCTAAATCTCTACTCTTTATTTTGCTAACTTCTGGCAGGCTAAAAAATTCCGTAGTTGATTATAGTTGCATTTACTTTTCATAAAGTTTGAACATGATTGATTATCTTTTATTTAAAATGTACATATGTTTTCAAAAATGATGCAACAGTGTCTCATTGACCCTCCTCAAAGGGTATAGAAGACTTTGCCTCTTCGGTATTCTCAGCCTGTTTTCGAAGGACCCCACATGATGTTTGGGGCCCTTTCTGGCATTCCCATGTTCCCATCACATAATTTTATTGTGTTTAGGATGTTAACATTTTTCTTTCTAACGGAGAGTAGAAAGTGTTAGCTACTATTCTGAGGATACATAGGAAACACCGAAACGATTGTATGAAAAACGAAAGGGATCAGATATCACTGGGCTTTTTAAACTTGGCACAGATTCTCTAGATCAGTTTGCTATGAAGAATTCAGCTCTCTGCCCTCTTCCACAGAACAATTCTTCTATAGTTTCTGTAGCTAAAATCTGGAGGCAATTTTCATTGCCTACGATCTATAAGGCACTAAGGCAGAGAGAGTCTCCTTACCTGTAACTTCCTCAAAGGTTGTGGATTGAATTCATTCTTCCTAAGAATTCTTTTCACAGCAGCATTCAGCAATTACCAAATAGAATCATTTGATCTGGTTATCTCACAGTCGGCCTGCCTGCCTTTCCTTTCTTTGTTTTTCTTTTCTTCCTTTATTATTAATTTTCAAAGCTAAACTTGAGACTGTGTTTGGTTGTCACCATTTTTTTCCCCATTAGTGTTCTCTCCCTGTTCTAGGATTCAGTCCAAGGCCCCACACTGCATTTGTTTGTCATGTTTCCTCACTCTCCTCTGTCTGGGACAGTTTCTTAGTCTTTCATGATTTCTCATCATCTTGAAAATCTTGAGCTGTACTGGCCGATGTCCTTAGACTAGCTCTCAGGTTGGGTTTTCTGTTGTTTTCTTCAAGAATAGATGGGGGTTATGGATTTGGAAAGACTACCACAGAGGTGAAATGCCCTTCTTGTCATATCATATCAGGGATCATGTTATCCATATAACATCGCTGATGACGTTAACGTTCATCACTTGGTTAAGATAGTATTTATCAGGTTTCTCCACTGTAAAGTTAACGTTTCCCTATTCTATTCTTTGCAAGCAAGTCACAAATCTAGCCTACCCGAAGGAGGGGGTGGAGGCAGGAAGTAAGCTCTACTTCCTGTATTTTGGAATTATTTGGAATTCTATAAGAAAGGCTTTTGTCTTTTTTCCCCATTGTATTTAAATACTTAATTATATCAGTATGGACTCAGGTAGATTTATTTTATACTTTGGGTTATAGTCCAATACACTGTTATTTATTTTGTCCCTCAGATTGTTCCAACCTTGGCCATCACGTAGCTCTTTCAGGGTGATTCCTGTATCCCTTTGATATGTTCCAGGACTCATTTTCTTTCTGGTACTACTAGATGCGTCAGGCTTACCTTTTTTCCCTTGGCACCAGCCCTAGAATCAGCCATTTTTTTTTAAGGAACCTGGTTCCTTTTATTGGAGAATAGTATTTAAAAACCAAGATGTGGGTGTTGGGTGTGCTTGTTGCGACTAGGGTGTCATTGCTTCAAGGCTCCCTCAGGAGATTTTATACACACACACACACACACACACACATACATACATACACACACATATACACACGCATACATACATATCTTCTTTTAAAAATATATGGAAAATTTTAAGCATATACAAAAATGCAAACTCACTGTCACACAACTTGAACAATTATTAATTAGTGGCCAATCTTGCTCCCCTCCCCCACTCCTCATTATTGTTTTTTAATATATTTTTATTTGAAAATGTTTATATCAGTACAGTGAAACTAAATTTTAAGAGGTACTGGATGTCATTAGTTTGGATATCATTAATTTATTACAGAAGAGAGGCATGGAAATTATTCACGTGAGGAGCTTTCACAACTTCAGTGGAATGGGCAGCTTCTTGTGATGCCATTTCAATGGTGATTTATTTCAGTCTATATACTTTCCAAGAATGTCACCATCTCTAATACATAAGAAATAAACCTTAAAAAAAAATAAACCTTGTTGTCGGGAACTACTTTGGTGCCTCCTTATTCTGGAAGAAGATCGTTACCACCATCTTTCATGCTAACTGGTTGAATCTCTCTGCCCTTTCATTTAGAGCCCAGTTCAACAGCTACCACTGTTGCTTGCAGTACTTTTCCTTGAGATTTTTCTGAAAGCATAATGCCTCCCTTGGTTACCATTTCTGGAGCACTCCTTTCAACTCATACTGGCTCAAAGAGGAGCAGAAACTTTCTAAATGTGTGTCCTACCATGACTCCGGCTGCAGCAGTCTGTTTATGAGGACCTGAATGAGGCTATGGCTTTGCTTTTATTTATTTATCTTTTTTAAAATAAAAATTGCACATATTTAAGGTGTACAACATGATACTGAGATATATATATATATATATATAGTGAAATTAGTGCAGTCAAGCTAATTAACAAATCTCATATCTTTGCTCTTTTAGCAATTTCCTGTACACTCCTGATAATTTGATAGAAATCCCAGTAACTGTATTATTTGTCCTATAGATATTTCAGCCTCTGAAAAAGAAGGACTCTTTTAAATAAAATTTTAAACTGAAGTATAATTGATACAGTAGAAAGTATGAAAGTGTAGAGCTTGGTGGATTTTTATAAATGTATATCACTGTGAAAGCCATCATCCAGATCCAGATACAGGACATTTCCAGACTCCTGGAAGGCTAATCACCACTGATAATCTGTGTAAGAATCTTTAAAAAGTTAACATAACCACAATACCATTATAGCACCTAAGAAATTAATAATTCCTTACAATCGAATATCCAGTCATTTGCAGCAGGTAGGTTCCCCTCTAACATCCACCTTCCTCCCTGTCCCAGCAATGTATGGGGTGCAGAGACAGAACAGTGTATCGGGCGCTTGTTCTGTAGTTTATTATGGTCTGGATTTTGCTGAGAGCATCCCCGTGGTGGTATTTAGCTTGTTTTTCTCACCGTGTTTTTCTTGGTGGGAACTCCGTTTTCATATTCTGGTTAGGTAACCCCAATACAGTGGTGGACACTGATTCTTTCTTTGGAGAAAATTCATCAGTAAGATGTTTTCATCAAATATATATTGCCCCTGAGCTGGCCGAGTGGCTCNGAAAAGTACTCAGACATATGAGTTCATTCTGTATGTTCCATTTATATATAATACATTTAAAAATGGTGTTAGAAATCAGGATAATGGTTACTTTTGGGGCAGAGGGGTAAGTGAGTAGGAGTGGGGATGGGTGCAGGGCTTCTGTGGTTCTGGTGGTTGCATAGATGTGTTTCCTTTGTGAAATTATTGAGCCATATACTATGTACTCTCCCTTGTGCACTTTAGCTATATGCTGTACTTGAATTAAAAAGTTTATTAATGAATAAATGAATATAAATGAATAGTAAAGAGAACTGATATGGCCAAAATAATATATACCCGAGTTTGGTAATTTTATAGGCTTACTAACAGAGATAAACTATTCCCTATTTAGCCAGGACTCATTCAGCTGATTTCTTGATATTTATGGGTTTATAGAGGATTCTAGGCAGTGGATAAGCAAATTTAGAAAATTAATATTTAAGGTAATAAAATTAGTAGAAGAAAATTAAGGAGTTAATCCATTTAAAATTTAAAAAAATTATCATAAAATGAAAAAATTATCATAAAATGAAATTGCGGGCATGATTGTCACCATCAATAATGATTTTCCATAGAGTCCTTCTAGGAATCGACCTAGGTTAGATTGTCAGAAGAGGGCTATTTGCTTTAGCCTGGTTCCTCCTGATTCTTTTCCCTGTCATCAGCTGTATCACAGGCCTAGACCAGGTAGGATGAAGTATGTATAGTAATGCAAGTTTCTAGGTCTCTGTAAGGTATCAGGGATCCCAAGGATATCGCACACAGACAAACACTTTAGATGAATTGGACTCAGCTGTCAGTGTTTGAAAAGGTTAAAAATATGGATTTTGGAGTCCACAAATCTTGATTGTACCACTTGCCAGCTCAGTATCCTTGGGCAAATTCCTTTACTTCCTTAAACCCCTGCTTCCTCCTCACCTGTAAAAAGAGGAGTGACAGCTACCACCTCTCTGGTTGTTGTGAGAATCAGATGAGATGAGGAATGCAAAATGGTATACACAAGTGTGTTTTTCAGTGCCCCACCACTAGCAAGATTATCTCACTTTTATCGTAAGACTGGAGCCATTTGACATAAGCCTCTGTATCTTCCTTTCCATCCATGGGAATTATTGACTTGTCGACCTCTATTTCTGCTATCTTTTCCTATTTAAAGGAGAGAAGGCTTGTTATTACTTACTTAAAACTCTTTAGTAGAAACAGATGATCCTCAGAATAAAGTGAAAATTCCTCAGCATTTTACCGGAATCCTTTTCTAAGGACTCAGGGCCCTGCTTTTAAAAGCTCTTATCACTCTGTTTGAGTCAGATGCAGTGCGTGTGTTCTGTTATACCTCTGTTCCTTAGCTGATTCTCTGCTTGGAAATTCATCTGGTTTCATGACTTCATGTTCTTGTTATTTCCTCTCTGAAATCCTCCTTGATTTGGCAGACACTTTCTCTTCTGGAAACCCATAGTACAGGCATAACTTGTTTTATTGCACATCACAGATGTTGCATTATTTATAAATTGACAGCACGACCTCCCACTGGCAAAATGATTACCACTTGCTTTATTGTGATGGTATGGAACTGAACCACTGTATCTTGTACAGTTCTCTTTTTGTGATACTCATGTTGGTCTTAGTCAGCTTGGGCTGCTATAAAAAAATACCATAGACTGGGTGACTTAAACAATGAACACTTATTTCTCACAATTTTGGAGGCTGGAAGTCTGAGATCAGGGTTCCAGCAAGGTGTAGTTCTTCGTGCGTGACCTCCCCATTCTTCATGGTTTATAGAGGGTGGTCTTCTTGCTGTATCCTCATGTGGCAGAGAGAGAAACTTTGAATTCCTTTATCTCTTATAAGGACACGCAGCCCCATCATGGGGCTTTCACCCCCAATGATATCATCCAAACTTAGTTACCTACCCAAATCATCACACTGGGGATTAGGGCTTCAACGAATTTTGGGGTGACACAGACATTCAGCCCATAGCATGGTGTGTTTCAATCATTTGTTCACAGGTCTTTTGGGGGACTATATCTCAGTATAGGCCCACCTAAGTTCTCAACTTTCACTAACTGAAATGACATCGTAAAATAAATTCACTAGTAAAATTCTGGTGAATGAATTCTTGCGGGATATTGTATACTCCCTTTCTGGGATGTAAAATGTACATTTTTTTAGATAGCAAAGTAGCTACTATTTATCAAAGTAAGTAATATCTGAGAAATGAATTTGCGTTTAAGATGTGATGAATAATTTCAGTTGATATCTCTGTATTTTAGGTAATGGAACTGTTGGTCCATCTGAATAAGCGTATAAAAAGCCGCCCCAAAATACAACTTCCAGTGGAGACACTGTTGGTTCAGTACCAGGACCCCGCTGCAGTTTCCTTTGTCACAGTGAGTGTTGGCTTGGAATATTTTTTAACTTACAGTAAGTTTTCTTTCATAACATTTATTAGATGTCATCAACATATTGGCAACATAGAATTTTACCGCAGACCATTTCTAAGTGAGGAATGAGAGGTTTTTCTTTAAATGACACTCTGTTGTGCCACTGAGTACTGATCCAGAGGAAATGTTGCCATAAAGGAAATGGTTGGAACAGGATAATGTATGGGTGTTGACATCGGGCAAAGGAATGTCAGTGAAGTGACTTGTTAGATATTTTGATCTATAAAAGAATGATTTTGATTCTTAGTAAAAGATGATATGAGTCTGAATAGATAGAAGGGTTATATAGCATAGGCATGAATAGAAGAAGAAAAAAGGGTAAAATGGCAAGAAGAGATAGGAAGGCTGAATTTTAAAACATCTGTTTTTCATATATATATATATATATACATATATATACATATATATGTATATATATATATATATATATATATTGCCCCTGATGTCTGAGTAAAGTTTTCCTGCCTTGCTCTGTTAGCTGGTCTAGAAGATTTCACCAAAAATTTTGTATCCTTTCTAGTATCAAAATCCTCTAGGAAAATGGAATCACTTTGTATGTAGGAGAGAATTTTGTTATTCTTGGTTTTGTTTTCCTCCCTTCTAACGATTAAATGACTGCGACAGTTTTAAGACAGTATAATGAGCTGGTAAAGCTTTTCAGTGTTGTTCCATAATTGTGTCACAGTCACCTGCATATAGGGCTAGCTGTGGTTCAAGTTCTGACTGAAGGATCTGCAGTGCAGTACAAGGATTAAGCCTTAGAAATAATACTAAGTATTGGTCATGTTTGATTTGCTAAGTTCTCCTTTTTTTCTGTTTATATTATAGATCAGCTTGAACGGGTCTTTTTACGACTTGGCCATGCTGAAACAGACGAACAGTTACAGAATATTATATCTAAATTCCTTCCTCCCGTTTTGCTCAAGCTGTCTAGCACCCAAGAAGGAGTACGCAAAAAGGTAAGCATGTTGGGACAGTTGGGGGAATTAAATGGTGAATTAATGGATATATATTATGAAGTGAGATTTTTGTTCCCATTATTGAAATCTAGGTTCATGATCCTAATTATGGCCTTTCAAAATGCAGAGTAAGTCTAGGACAAGCTCACATGATTTAAAAGTAGCTTTTGAATGCTTAGTACAGCTGCATTTAGCACCAACTGTGCACTTGGCATCAGTGCCAGATGATATAATTGAGATGATTATTCTGGAATGTATGGAGGCTTGCTCTGAAACCCATGCCTTTGATTCCAACATGAAAGGCAGGTGATGGTGGGGCAAAAATGTTCTGTAGTCATTGGCTGACTGTGAATATAACCTTAATTAAAAGTAAGCAAAAAATTGGGCCGGCTGAGTGGCGCGTTGGTTAAGAACTGGCTTGGGATGCCAGAGGGCCCCTGTTCGGATCCCACATGAGGGCCAGTGACACTTCGCCCTGTACAGCTAAGATGATGAACAACAGCTCAACCTGGAGCTGGGCTGCCGTGGGTCGCCGGCGACAGCGTAGGCTGCAGTCCCCTGCTGCAGTGGGCTGCCATAGCTACCATGTGTAGCTGGCAGCCAGCGTGAGCAGCCAGCAGCCGCCGTGAGTGGCCGTCCAGAGGCCGGCGACTGATCTGCCTCGCCTGGGAAGAGCGCAATGATGGTGCCAGCTTGGGCCAGTGAAGCAACATCCTCCACAACTAGACTGAAGAACAAACCAACAGCAACTTGTCTGTTCCCCTTCCCCCAATTCCTCAGCACTGTTCCCCTTCCCCAATTCCCCAATAAAATCTTTGAAAAAAAAAAAAAAGCAAAAGTTTTTAAAAGCAATATGTTGTATAGTTCCAGTTTTAAGACTGTACAGTACTGTTACCAAAAGTTGGGTAACTGTCACATCTTTTTTAACCTAGTGTCCTACATGGAACATTTGCCCCTTCATTTTTAAATAGTTCATTAGTCCTCTAGTTATACTAGACCTTTGGGTCTTTGGGCTATCATGCAGTTTCATCCTTTGGGCCACTCTAATTGATTGGTAATGGCTTCCTGGAGGCCTGCCTTGAGAGAGATTCTGAGGCCTGTCCTGATTTGGGTTCAATGGAGGAAGAGTACCTTTAAGAATGTCTGTTATGTTTGCAGGAAGGATAGGGCGTTCTTGTCATGTATTTGACATGCCTATTGTTAATACTGCTTTGTTGAGATAAATATATATTTGATCATGTCACTATCCTATTTAAAACTGTTCTATGGCCTTCTCTTACCCTTAGAGGATAGCAAGGTGTTAAAAAAGGCCCTACGTGAGTTGGTTTCTGCTTACTTATTTAGCCTCATCAGTCTTGTCATTCTTTTGGCAGGTATTTACCGAGTGTCTTTAGTATATGCCAGGTGTTAGGGCTGCGTTAGTGAATGGAAGAGACATCTTGTTGGGGAGACTGCTATTAAACAATCAGGCAAATAGTATCTAGTTATAAGATGTAATAGATGCTAAGATGGAATAGAATCCTCTGAAAGAATGTATTTGGGGCATAAGAGAGATCTCTGTGTGTGTGTAGGGCGCAGCCAGACCAGAGAGATGAGGGAGATCATTAAAGACAGATGGCCCTGTGCAGAGGTTCTGAGCTGAAACAGTGTGAAGCCTTCAGGGACTTGAAGGTGGCCATGTTGCACCCAGTGCGCGAGAGGAGGCATGATCAAGGGAGTAGGCATCAGGGAGAGGGAGCAGGGGTTCCAGTGGGCAGCGATTTGAAAACTCATGGATAAATAATTTCAGCATGTGAAATTTTGATATCGGTGAAACTAAGAATTAATTTGTGTTGACTTTTAGTTGTGTAATTTTTGGGTTTCTAACTATCAGTTTCATAGCACATGTTAGACTTAACCAGGATATATCCTATAAGGTAGCTGGTAATTTGTGGATAATCTGAGTGAAAGAGAAATAAAAGTTAGATTTCTACTGACATGTTATTGGAGTGCGTATCCTATTTTAAGGAAAATGAAGTTTGCTACGTAGACTTCTACTTTACAGTTAACTTTTATATTCAGACTCATTAGAATAGCTGAAAATTAAAGACTGACCATATCAAGTGTTGACAAGGATGTGGAGCAATTGGAGCACTGCTGGTAGGCATGTAAATTAGTTCTGTAACCACTTCAGAAAATTGAAATATTCTAAAGCTTATCATATGCATACTCCATGACCAAGTATTTCCAATCCTGAGTTTATATACAACAGAAATGTGTATATGTGTGCACCAAAAGTTATATCTAAGAATGTTCATAGCAGCATTATTCATAATAGCCCAAACTGGAAATAATCTAGTGTCAATCAATAGGAGAATGGATAAATTGTGCTATTTTCCTATTGGAGCAATGAAACTGAACTGCTATGAGCAACAACATGGGTGAATTTCTAATATAGTGTAGAAAGAAAAGTACTCAGACATATGAGTTCATTCTGTATGTTCCATTTATATATAATACATTTAAAAATGGTGTTAGAAATCAGGATAATGGTTACTTTTGGGGCAGAGGGGTAAGTGAGTAGGAGTGGGGATGGGTGCAGGGCTTCTGTGGTTCTGGTGGTTGCATAGATGTGTTTCCTTTGTGAAATTATTGAGCCATATACTATGTACTCTCCCTTGTGCACTTTAGCTATATGCTGTACTTGAATTAAAAAGTTTATTAATGAATAAATGAATATAAATGAATAGTAAAGAGAACTGATATGGCCAAAATAATATATACCCGAGTTTGGTAATTTTATAGGCTTACTAACAGAGATAAACTATTCCCTATTTAGCCAGGACTCATTCAGCTGATTTCTTGATATTTATGGGTTTATAGAGGATTCTAGGCAGTGGATAAGCAAATTTAGAAAATTAATATTTAAGGTAATAAAATTAGTAGAAGAAAATTAAGGAGTTAATCCATTTAAAATTTAAAAAAATTATCATAAAATGAAAAAATTATCATAAAATGAAATTGCGGGCATGATTGTCACCATCAATAATGATTTTCCATAGAGTCCTTCTAGGAATCGACCTAGGTTAGATTGTCAGAAGAGGGCTATTTGCTTTAGCCTGGTTCCTCCTGATTCTTTTCCCTGTCATCAGCTGTATCACAGGCCTAGACCAGGTAGGATGAAGTATGTATAGTAATGCAAGTTTCTAGGTCTCTGTAAGGTATCAGGGATCCCAAGGATATCGCACACAGACAAACACTTTAGATGAATTGGACTCAGCTGTCAGTGTTTGAAAAGGTTAAAAATATGGATTTTGGAGTCCACAAATCTTGATTGTACCACTTGCCAGCTCAGTATCCTTGGGCAAATTCCTTTACTTCCTTAAACCCCTGCTTCCTCCTCACCTGTAAAAAGAGGAGTGACAGCTACCACCTCTCTGGTTGTTGTGAGAATCAGATGAGATGAGGAATGCAAAATGGTATACACAAGTGTGTTTTTCAGTGCCCCACCACTAGCAAGATTATCTCACTTTTATCGTAAGACTGGAGCCATTTGACATAAGCCTCTGTATCTTCCTTTCCATCCATGGGAATTATTGACTTGTCGACCTCTATTTCTGCTATCTTTTCCTATTTAAAGGAGAGAAGGCTTGTTATTACTTACTTAAAACTCTTTAGTAGAAACAGATGATCCTCAGAATAAAGTGAAAATTCCTCAGCATTTTACCGGAATCCTTTTCTAAGGACTCAGGGCCCTGCTTTTAAAAGCTCTTATCACTCTGTTTGAGTCAGATGCAGTGCGTGTGTTCTGTTATACCTCTGTTCCTTAGCTGATTCTCTGCTTGGAAATTCATCTGGTTTCATGACTTCATGTTCTTGTTATTTCCTCTCTGAAATCCTCCTTGATTTGGCAGACACTTTCTCTTCTGGAAACCCATAGTACAGGCATAACTTGTTTTATTGCACATCACAGATGTTGCATTATTTATAAATTGACAGCACGACCTCCCACTGGCAAAATGATTACCACTTGCTTTATTGTGATGGTATGGAACTGAACCACTGTATCTTGTACAGTTCTCTTTTTGTGATACTCATGTTGGTCTTAGTCAGCTTGGGCTGCTATAAAAAAATACCATAGACTGGGTGACTTAAACAATGAACACTTATTTCTCACAATTTTGGAGGCTGGAAGTCTGAGATCAGGGTTCCAGCAAGGTGTAGTTCTTCGTGCGTGACCTCCCCATTCTTCATGGTTTATAGAGGGTGGTCTTCTTGCTGTATCCTCATGTGGCAGAGAGAGAAACTTTGAATTCCTTTATCTCTTATAAGGACACGCAGCCCCATCATGGGGCTTTCACCCCCAATGATATCATCCAAACTTAGTTACCTACCCAAATCATCACACTGGGGATTAGGGCTTCAACGAATTTTGGGGTGACACAGACATTCAGCCCATAGCATGGTGTGTTTCAATCATTTGTTCACAGGTCTTTTGGGGGACTATATCTCAGTATAGGCCCACCTAAGTTCTCAACTTTCACTAACTGAAATGACATCGTAAAATAAATTCACTAGTAAAATTCTGGTGAATGAATTCTTGCGGGATATTGTATACTCCCTTTCTGGGATGTAAAATGTACATTTTTTTAGATAGCAAAGTAGCTACTATTTATCAAAGTAAGTAATATCTGAGAAATGAATTTGCGTTTAAGATGTGATGAATAATTTCAGTTGATATCTCTGTATTTTAGGTAATGGAACTGTTGGTCCATCTGAATAAGCGTATAAAAAGCCGCCCCAAAATACAACTTCCAGTGGAGACACTGTTGGTTCAGTACCAGGACCCCGCTGCAGTTTCCTTTGTCACAGTGAGTGTTGGCTTGGAATATTTTTTAACTTACAGTAAGTTTTCTTTCATAACATTTATTAGATGTCATCAACATATTGGCAACATAGAATTTTACCGCAGACCATTTCTAAGTGAGGAATGAGAGGTTTTTCTTTAAATGACACTCTGTTGTGCCACTGAGTACTGATCCAGAGGAAATGTTGCCATAAAGGAAATGGTTGGAACAGGATAATGTATGGGTGTTGACATCGGGCAAAGGAATGTCAGTGAAGTGACTTGTTAGATATTTTGATCTATAAAAGAATGATTTTGATTCTTAGTAAAAGATGATATGAGTCTGAATAGATAGAAGGGTTATATAGCATAGGCATGAATAGAAGAAGAAAAAAGGGTAAAATGGCAAGAAGAGATAGGAAGGCTGAATTTTAAAACATCTGTTTTTCATATATATATATATATATACATATATACATACATATATATGTATATATATATATGCATTCAGATAGGTGTCCTTTTTAAAAAGTGGAGTACACTGAGGCTGGTAAGAAATAGTGCTCTTGAATTGTTGTCTTTGTGAAAATTAAATGTAAAAAACTGTTGCGTGATGACAGGTGATGTTTGTTTCCTGGCCCTTGTAATGTGTAGCATCGAGGCAGAATCTATTGGGCCTTATCTGACATCTGGATTCCAGACCTTTGGAGTCACCTACTGGCCCAGACGTCTTGTCTGTGCCCACTCTGGACATAGAGTGCCATGACAGATACTCGCTTCTTTAAGCGCATAGAAACATTGTGTGCCAATAAAATTGCCAAATAGAATGGCTTTAAAGGGAAGGGATAGCCTTTTGAAGTTTGTTCTAAAACGAAGAATGCTTCAGAAAAGCAAATCTTTAGAGAATGCATGAATTCATATATGCATTTATGGGTTTGCTTAAAAGAAGGCATTCATGTGGATTATAGTGGTGCAGACACACCGACAGCACCCAGCTTCCCTTTGCTTGCCATCCGTCGGTCAGCTATTGGAGTGAAGAATGAGAGTGCTGTAATGTACTGAGGTTGTTTAAGTAAAAGACCCGTTGGGGATGGGCAGCCTAGGATTTAATACTTGGTCTCCTCTTAGCTTAAAAGGATTAATGCGACAAACTGGGAGATCTGATGTTAATGTATAGTATGTAGGTTTAGATAGGTCAGATGATTACTTTGTTCTTCTCAGTGAAAAGTAATTGCATGTATGGGTACTTAATTTTTCCCCAGCGTTATTGAGGCATAATTGACAAATAAAATTATATACGTATATGTAAAATGTACAGTGTGATGATTTGATACATGCATACATGAGTGCTTTAGATTAGGTGTTGCTCCGTTACATGAAGCCCATCTTAAAGCAAGCATTTTGAAAAAGGGGGACTGGATTTCATCCTGAAATATAATAGTTGGTCAAGCTGTAATAAACATGGTGGAAGGAAGATGTCATTTCTTTGTTATAACTCCCTGAGTTATCAATCACATGTTTTTGTTGAAATCCTAGAGTATTTCCTTCACACTCACTTGCTTTTTTCTCATTGCTTTAGAATTTTACTATAATTTATGTTAAGATGGGCTATCCTCGCTTACCGGTGGAAAAACAATGTGAACTGGCCCCTACGCTCCTTACTGCAATGGAAGGGAAGCCTCAGCCCCAGCAGGATAGGTATGCTTGCCTCAGTTACCTTATTTCCTGCCCAGGAGAGTCAACAGCTGCCATTCAGAATAGGTCTGCACACTTGGTTTCACTTGAGCTCATTCAGCTGACAAAGAATTGAATTTCTGTGTTATCTCAACTCAACATTATTATTTTGTTAATACTGTTATAAAATTTCTTAATGTGAGCATATTGAAAAATGTGCGGAGCTAACAACATTTTTCTGAATCTAATTACTTTTTTTTTGTCAATTAGTTGGAAGCAACGGATTTTCTGTGATTGTAAAACTTGGTTATAAAATGCTTTTCATCAAAACATTTCTATCTTAGAGGTTATGAAATTTCAGAGCCGTTTTCTTAAGGAACAGGTCACTTGTTTATATTAATACGGGAATTGGAGAGGAGTAATGGTTTAGATAACATCCTTCGTTTCTTGGCTTAGCTCGAAGGTATAGATTGTGGCCATGTAGTGGTGAGAATCATGAAGAGTGCAGAAGCTGTGGAGGAAAGATGGGGTTAAACAATGTTTGCAGCTCACCTTTTTAGAGCATATACACTTTAAAAAGAGACTAATACAGATATTTACAAGTAAAATTAATAAACATAAACACCATTTGAAATTGTTTTCATGTGTTTTAAGACTAACAAAAGGTATAGTGAAAGAAGGAAATACTGAAGCTGTGTTACTTAAATTCACACAATGGAAATTTTAATATATCTCGAATATTGACACAATTGATTTTTAATTTCTTTACCTTAAGAATAATTTTATTTTAATTAACTGTGGAAAGGAAAAAAATTCATTGAAAGGACATGTTATAAGTTAAACTTTACCTAAGGTTTAATATACAATCCCTTGTGGCCACAGGTATTAACACCGAACCCATATTATGTACATTTTTTCCCCTGGTGCTTCTGGTGATGAGCCAGATTGGCTAAATGCCAATCATCACTCAATATACTGAGCTTTCAGTAAGATAGTAATCGAGGCTAGTTCCTAGATTAGGGCTTTGTCAGTAATGGTGTTGAATATGAGTGGCCCTTGCTATAATTGACACTTTTTGTTATATGATTTTTGTTTTGTCTGTTATTTGCATGTATAAAAACCTTGTTTTTTAAGTAGTTGCAATAAATGTAATTGTTTTTCAGCTTAATGCATCTTTTAATACCAACCCTTTTTCACATGAAATACCCTGTTGAATCATCAAAATCAGCTTCTCCCTTTAATCTTGCTGAGAAACCAAAGACTGTGCAGCTGCTTTTGGACTTCATGCTAGATGTCCTTCTAATGCCTTATGGGTAAGTGAAAAAATGAAAGCAAAACAAAGCAGCCTTGTTCTTGACTGCTTTTCGCTGTGTGGAGTTAAGTACTATTTTAAATGATTCAACTTGCACTTGAAAATGGATGTGTCTCAGATTTTTTTTGCTGCAGCCCCGTCGTTTTCTAAGCTCCATCCCCACTGCTTATTGACCTTAAAGGTGTGGAGTTGCTGCTGTGATTTCAGACTCAACCTGTCCAAGCTGAAATCAGTCTTTTCCCATAAAAACAGCTCCTTTTTTTTTTACTTATTATCAGTGCTGTGATGATTCTTAGTTATGTAGCTCTACAATTATAAATTGCCTCCAGCTTTTCTCTTGCTCGTTGCTGCAATATCATTCCCATAACACCTCCTCCCCTCTCCTTGATATATCATGCCCACTTGCTGCCATCTAGTTTTTGCTCTTTTCAACTCCTGTCACGATTTTCTTACCAGCTGCTATTCTACACAACTCTCTACGCTGCCATAGAGTCTCCCGATTTTTAAAACACAGATGTTATCAGGTCACACCTTAAAATCCTTGCGCTATTATTTTCCAGTCGTTATATGCACTCATGGATTTCATGCGTTCTTTTTTTTTTGTTTTTTTAAAAGATTTTATTGGGGAATTGGGGGAGGGGAGCAGTGTTGGGGAATTGAGGAAGGGGACCAGCCAAGTCGTTGTTCTTCAGTCTTCGTTGTGGAGGGCACCAGTCACCATCTGGCTCCCCGTCGGCAGCTCGTGGCCTCTAAGCTCAAGGTGCTGTGTTCAATGTTAGTTGCGGGTGGGCATAGCCACCATCCCATGCGGGAGTCGAACCAGCAGCCTTGTTGTTAAGAGCTCAGGCTCTATCCACTGAGCCATCTGGGTGGCAGCTCAGCTCATGGTGCTGAGTTCAGTCTTAGCTGCGGGTGGGCGTAGCCCACCATGGAACAGGCAATCTTGTTGTTACACCAGCTGAGCCATCCTGCCACCTATTGGCAGCTCAGCGACAGCTCAGCTCAGGCGCAGCATCACTGGCCCATGTGGGAATCGAACCGGCGGCCCTGTTGCTCAGAGCCCACGCTCTTAAGCCAACTCTTAACCAACTGAGCTACTCGGTTGGCTCCTCATGCGTTCTTATGTGTCCACGTCTTTCTGTGTTTTAAGAGAACACAGTTCTCTGCTTAGAATGCTTCCCCATCAAAAAGGGAAGAAATGAAGAAAGACAGCAATAAGAAACAACAGCCAAAAAACCACTTGGAAAAAACATCTCAAAGTAGCTTAGATATCAACTATGTATATCACTAAACACTCTTGCCACTTTGTGTTTTTATTGCATTGTTGACATGTCCATCTTCCTTAATATATTGGGAGTTCCTTGAAGTCAAGAGCTGTTTTATCTATCTAGCTCTGGTCCCTGGCATAGTGCCCAGGTTGTGATCTGCTTCCAGCCTTCTTATTTTCTAGGTTGTCCTGCTGCCAGAGACAGTTGCCTCCAATACTGATTTCATTATGTCTTCCCTAATCAAAAATACAATATCCACTATAAGCTTGACACGTGGGGCTCCGTATCATCTGTCTCTCAATTCAGAAGTGAGAGTTCATTCTGTATGATTTCATTCCTCTAATTAGTGCTCCTTTGGCCTCTCTAGTTTGGTGGTTTTGTTTCTGGATCTTCAGACGCTTCCCCTAACCTCTACCTGTTCACTACCTGTGTCATACCATTTCTTATTTCTGTGTGGTTTCTTTGTCATCCGATAACACGTCAAATGCTGTGACAGGTGTTTTGTTGTTAAGACTCATTCTTACCCCTCTTGGTGTTCCTTTATCTTGTGTTCAGGGTGATGTTTGGCACAATGTTAGCTGTTCAGTAATTGCTGATTGATTTACTTACTACTAGCAGTCTTGCTATAACTTAGCAATCAATCAAAATCTCCTTTTGTACTTGTTAAATCAGGAGGCAGCCAGAATTGGCAGGTGATGATGATTTTGGTAAATAAATTTTGAAATTCAGATTTAACGTAGGCACATAATGTACCCAAGCCAGTGATGGCTCACATTTTTTTTATCAGTGAGAATTTGCCTTGTTTATATAAAAATAAAGGGACTCCTTAACAGGAGTCCTTTTTTTTTTTTAAAGGTGAATTTAGGAATTGAATGAGTGTAGCATATAAGTAATGTGGAATAATTTACTGTGCCATCAGGTTCCAAGTGTTTTTGTTAATTTTTATTACAATGGGTAATTTATTTTAATACCCAGTCTGATAATTTGTCAGCATAGAATTTTAGAGTTTGAAGGGACTTGAGTTAATATTTACATAGAAATTTTCATTTTGTAGATAAGGAATACCAGTTTGATTGGATCAAATGAATTTTCCAGAAATCTTATTATTAATCTATAGAAGCTAAAAATGAAATAGGCTGATAAATTATTAAATAATGGCCACAAAGGGCTTTGAACATACAATGGGAAAAACTACTTTTTCTTCCCTCCTTGGGCCCTTTTGAATTTTTTCATTTTTGGGGCATTATGTGCCTGTGTGGCAAGTGGTTTTAGTGGGTTTTCTAATGTAGGGATATAAAGAGTTCAAGAGAATTGAAGGTGAATTGCAATGTAACAGAAATAGAAATGGTTAAAAATATTCTCTGCTTTGGGTATAGAACAATACCACTGCCCCCCATAGTCAACAAACCTTTTCTCTGTGTTAACTAAAAACTCAAAATGCAGTGAGTCCTTAGTGACTCTTAGAACAATTGTTTATAGATTGAGAATGAACAAAATATTTGTATTTATTGTTGGTAACTATTATAGTTCGTTTGTAACCAAGGTGAGCAGATGTTCTTTTATGGTTAATTTTCTGAAGATGTAGATACTAGATACCTTTTTTAGATACCTTTAAAATTTTTCTTTATGATGAAATTTTACTTGTGTTTGTTTTTCCAGAAGAATTCTGCATGAGGAAAGTGTAATATATAATTTAATGTATTATTTATGCATGTATAGGTATGTGTTTTAATAGAGAGGGGTTACATTTCCGTTTCCTTTCCAGATATGTGTTAAATGAATCCCAGAGTCGCCAAAATTCATCTTCAGCACAGGGTTCTTCTTCAAATAGTGGGGGAGGTTCTGGAATACCACAGCCTCCCCCAGGAATGAGCTTTTATGCAGCTAAACGAGTTATTGGTGATAACCCATGGACACCTGAACAGTTGGAACAGGTATGACATGCTGCTTATTCATCATGGAACTTAACCTTGTACACACACGCCTATGAAGTCCATGAAAACACTTGTAACACAGCTCCAGTGTATTCAGGCTGTCATGTAACATAGCTCCAGTGTATTCAGGCTCTCTAATGAGATAGGTTTGAAAGGATCAGTTGGTGTAATGTGTTTTCTGCATCATGTCAGTTAATGTTAAAGCCCCAGGGGAAGGGAGGAGCCGGGGACATGCTCTTCAGTTTTTCTAATAGATTGCTTACACATTTCAAGTATGAAATACAGCCCGCTCGTAAATTGAGTGTATTTAACTTCTCTCATTTTAGTTTTTAATTAGAGGTTTAATAATGATCTAGATCAGGGGTCAGCAAACTTTTGAGACGGAAGAGCCGCCAGGGGTCAGCAAACTGCGGCTCGCGAGCTGTGGCTCTCAAGTAAAATTGAAAATGAAAATGAAACTATCATAGGTTCATTTATAAAATTTTTACAGGATATTACTCACATAATGGTGATTATGTAAAAATATATTTATGGCTCTTGAATAATTTTTGAATTGCTGTGAGGGACAGGATTGGCTCTTCCAGGGGTTGGCAAACTTTTGAGATGGAACGTACCCAAAGAGCCGCATGTGGCTCTTGAGCCGCAGTTTGCCGACCCCTGATCTAGATGCTTTGGGCAGTTAAAATACAGTTTATCCTACATTATTCAGCTTTTTAGGGTTGTACATTTTATGTCAATTGAGGAACTCCTGTACTCACAAGTGATAATATGGGGGAAAGCATGACTCCCTTTTATATTTCTTCCTGGGAATTTAAAAATTGGCATTAAGAATTTTATTCTGGATTTAAACAGGACACAGACGTTCTCTGAGCAGCTTTTAAAAAAGACTCGTGCTCTACAGAGAAGGTGCCTCACTGTGTCTGTATCATCAGGCACCTCAGGGAAGAACAGATGAGATCAGTATGTAATTATTTTGGAATTCAAGCAACATGGGTTAGTCTTCTAATCCTTCCTTTATCTCTCCATGGCACTCTAAATGATTTGATCTTTTTCTTTTTGGGGATGTAAGTGACCACTGGTCAAAACTGCTCCCAGGAGAGGGAAAAAGGCAAGTGGGGCATTCTTGCCACTCACAAATTGCTTTGTTTAGTGAGGGTTATATTTGATTAGATTTACTACTTCATGTTTTAGACATCTTTTTTTCTCCTTAAGCCATGATGTAAGGAAGAAATAAAGGTAAATAGTAACAGAAGCTACTCTTCACTGAATGTGATCAATGTGACAGGCACTTTGAATACATTCTGTCATTTAATCCTCATAGCAACCCAAGGAGGTAGAAATTGTTACTTCTATTTTGGAAAAAGGAACTGAGGTTCTGAGATTAGCCACGGTCTCACTCCCAGCACTAGGCTTTGAATCTAGGTCTGTCTGAGGGCTAAGATATAAGGGCTGGAGAATAATTGTTATCCTACATTAAATTGTAATCTTATGTTGGTCATTACTTGCTAATTTCTAAGGGTCCCTGTATACCTTGTGTCAATCCCATAATCTAGTGCTGAAACAAACAGTTTAGTTTCAAGGTTGAAAGCTGCTTTCCTCTAATTTCTGAATCTCTTGTTTTACATTTCTCCTTCCAGATAAATAGCTTTTATTTTGGTAAAGCTAATAATACTGTAAAGATTCAAGTAGCGTAGAACATTATATAAAGAGAATTTAAAAGTTACCTGGAATCCTGCCACCTAGTTTGTTGTTTATCTACACCCTGCTTTCTGTGTATGTGTGTACACAAATACAGTTTTACACAATACATTTTTACATACCATATAATACATTATTTGCAGTTTACTTTTTTCATTTAACAGCATCTCAAGTTTTGAAAAATGTGATCCTTAATATCTGTATAAAATTTAATTATATGTATACCACATAACATTTTTTTATCAGTTTTCTGTTGATGGACATTAGTATTATTTTCAGTTTTCTTTGAACATTTTTTTTGTCTATATCTTTGTGTACTTGACTTCCATAACAATCCTTTTTGTGGCTTAAGTAAATGTTTGAGTCTTTTTATTGTTGTTACAAGTAAGTTGTGATGAATAGGAGGAGGGAAGGCAGGCATTTTTGTGATGTTGCTATACCTTTTCAAATTGCATCCTTTGTCATTTAATAATTTTAAAGTTTGTCAATCCTAATTCACATATTTGAGAACTATTATGTAACTGATTTTTTAGGATAAAGTTCTACTTCTCATGTATATTTATCTTAAAGTTATTTTTAGTGAAGTTCATAGCTACTTTACATTGCATGAAGTTCTAAGCAGAATCTATCTTTAGTCTGTGTTTCATTTTAGCCAGTTAATCACATTGAATACTCTTCAATTAGAAATTCACTTGCATTGACTAGAGTACGTTTGAAATCATTATTGTTTTCAGTATGTAAGAATATTGAGGACAAGAATTAGTATGTTAACAAGAGAGTTGAACTCCATGGAGCATGAGTTGTTTAGCTCCTTTTGAAGTGTCATAACCATGAAGCACTTTATTTCTAAGTATATCACCATGCTTATTACCTGGAGGCTCCAGATTTGTACTTCAGTTCAAGGTTTCATCGTTCTAGAGAGTAGGAAGGCTGTGTATCATAATGATCTTGGAGTTTGAGAGACTTGAGTTTAAACCTTGTCATCATCACTTGCTAACTATGTATCTTAATGTCTTAAGCCTTGCGTCACTTTCCTCATCTGAAAAATGGATGTGACCGTACTTACCTCAGATTGTGAGGGTTAAATGAAATCATAGCCAAATGTGGTTTAGTACAGTCCCTGGCACATTGTAAACCTAAATAGGAGCTGCTACTGTTGTTACTACTTGTCTTTGGTTTCTGGACATACTGATATGTTAAACAGTAGTTTTGGTTGGGGGCCTTTGCTTCTCTGATCACTGTTTCTCCTTCCCTTCATTATCTGCAGTGCAAATTGGGCATAGTGAAATTCATAGAAGCTGAACAGGTTCCTGAACTTGAAGCTATTCTCCACCTGGTGATTGCTTCTAGTGACACGCGCCACAGTGTGGCAACGGCCGCAGACCTAGAATTGAAAAGCAAGCAAAGGTAAACTACGTCTCTGTTAAGCTTTCAAAACTGGAAAGAGGCTAGATTTCTGAAATCTTACTCAGCACATATTTGTTCTTTTCAGATTTTGTGTAATGAAACATTTAGTTTATTAGATTATGAAATATGCCTAATTTGTAATAAGGACAGTTTGCTTAAGAGCGGAATTCTGTGTAAGACAAAAGAAGAAAAGCTGTTTGGCGAAGCAGTTTAATACGGGAATGGGTTAGGAATATTACCATAAGAAATGAGATCTTTGGTGAGGTGAATGAACTTAAAAGAACTGATGTTAAGGAAAATGTCAAAACCCAAATGTTACTAACTTTTTATTCTTCCTCTAACTCAAGCCATTTGAGATTGCTTTTAATAAAGGATATGTATGTACAGTGGTTAGTACAGTGAAGGTCAGAGCCCATGAGAACAGGTGCTGAACAGATCTTAATTCACACAGGAGGAAATCAAATAGTAAATAGGCTCATAGAAAATATTCTCTATAAGAAATCAAATCAATGCAAAATAGAATAATGGTATACCAATTTGTACCCATTGGTAAATAAAATTGCGTAACAGTTGATAACTCCATTTAAGTTTCTGTTGGAAGTACTATTATTATATCTTGTTGATTTTCATTATAAATTGAAATAATTTTTGGAAAGCAGATCGCAGTAAGTAATGAATCATAAAAATGTGACCTTTTATCTAAATCTTACTTCTGGGAATTTTTCCCAAGAGAATCATTCAACAGAAGAAAAGGTTATATTTAGTAAAATGTATAGATTTATTCATTATACCATTTTCTTTAATTATATATAAAAAAAGAAACATTCACATTTTCACAATAGGGAAATAGTTAAGTAAATTAACAGTGCATCTATATGCAATATTACATATTATTACAAAATGGTTACAAAAACAATAAAGCAACATGTAAATTGCCCTCAGTCAATGGTAAATGAATAAAGCAGAATACAAAATGGTGTGTGTGATTTAAAAAAAAAAATGACATGTTCAAGATAAGAATAACATGAAAAATTGAAGATGGTTGAAAAAAATCAACTTATGGAATAGTTTTCTGAATTTATTTTAATGCTTAATGTAATAACATGCTACAAGACAGTTGAATATGGATAAAGTATTAAATAAAGCTTTATAAAGGTTCCATTTGTTGTAGTTTTTCCTCTCTTAAGAAACTGATACAAGTAGGTAACAGAAGGAGGAAATTAACTTCATTTGTGTCTTGGTTGCTTGTTGAAATAGAATCTAATTGTGTGTGTGTGGTGGTGGTGGTGGTGGTGGTGGTGGTGGTGGTGGCGGTATTGGCGGTATTGGTGGTATTGGCGGTATTGGTGGTATTGGTTTACCACTAAAGAGTATGTGAAGTGATAGAGGAGGAGCGGGTTTGTCATGGAGTTAATTCTGGTCATGCCTCGTGCTGATTGTCTGAATTTGGAAGACTTACTTAACCTTGCCAGGCCTTGGACTCTGCAAAATAAGAAAGTTGAACTAGACTGTACTTAGCATTCCCCCCAAGTCTAACTTTCCTTCATGCTACTTATAACTGTGTCTTCCTGGTATCCCTTTGAAAGAGCTTATTTGATTTTGAAATATCAAAAGATTTTCCTTTGAAACTTCTCATTGTGTGTGAACTGGCTCCATTCTTTATACCATATAGTAGATTGGATTGTTGGAAATACAAATGTAGTGCTTAAGTGTTCTAAGTTTCAGTTTTGTATATTTTGTTCATTTCTATAAAAATAAACATTGTAAAGAGGTAAAAAGTGAGTTGAGAATGATATGCAGATATTATCCCATTTTGTTAAAGTAAAATTCCAGAGTATCTCTAAGTCATGTATCGATTTATTGTTTTATTTACCGACCTGCCATATCCATCCACCCGTTTTACACGCATAGGAAAGAAGTCCAGAAGAAGCTAGACAGCAAAGGTAGTGGAAAAGGAATAGAGAGGGATATGGTGCAGATTGTAAGGCATTTTATTTTCTATGTTGTTTCTGAATTTTTACAAAAAATATGTAATCAAAATGAAAACTAGAAAGATGGCAAGAGGAAACGTAGAAAGAAACCATGAAAATTATCTGTAATGGTTAATCACTGTTAAGCTTTTATTAAAGTTGTTTTGTGAAAAGTCTCTAAACCTGCAGTATTTATAGAAGGGAAACAACGGAGGAGCTTGACGATTAGTTAGTAGCAATCAGCTGCAGAAAAATGTAGATGACTAATAACTAAGCTACAATTGTATAATAACTTAAGGATAGTGGATTGTGGATATCCAAAGAAGAGGCAGATTGATAAGCTATGAAAGAAGAGATGGATTAGAAAAATAGTCAAAGCAGCAGGATAATTTGCGTTTACACGAACATAGCAATTCTTGAAAGCAGAGCCAAAGTCAAAGGCCAGAGAGAAGATAGTATGATTAAATGTCGCTAATCAAGCGAAATGCAGGATTGCAGTATTGCTAGGTTTATAAAATGACGGGGTGGGAGCTGCTGCAGAGGTTGGGAGCCATCACTAATCATGTGATGTTCTAATTCACCTTATTGTGGGGCCCAAGTAAGAATTAGTCTTAGTGACTAATGGCAGCATGACTGCTCTAGAGAATTAGCTACTAAAACTGCAAGTGTGTGCAGATAGGTAAGGAAGAGGGAGATGCTGGGAATCAGAGACACAATATTAGAGAAATTTAATGGGCCTCCTAGGATTGTGTCTTTAATGGGTAAAAATTTTTTGTCACCTTCCTTGTAGTTTTTGAATTTCCAAGTGGCTAAACAGAAGATTCCTGCCCCAGGGCTCTTTGAACAGGTGTAGGAACTGCTCCATGGCATTGCCCAGAGAGTGGAGTGTAGGCTGGTGTTCTTGTGTGGCACCAAACTGGGCCATTGGATACAACGATCTGTTGAATCAAGAGGGGATAAGTGACTTTTTTTTCTGTTTAAAAACTAGCTTTGATAGAAGTTAATCCCTTTCCTTCTCTTCTATAGTGTCAGTTGCCCATTTCATTTGTGTTTTTAACTGTTTTTTTTGTAACATATTGAGGCTATGATTTTTTGAAATTATTGAAGTGTCTCCCATTTTAACAAGCTGTGTTGTAACCTTCTGTAGCTTGATTGACTGGAACAATCCTGCCATCATTAATAAGATGTACAAGGTCTACCTTGGAGATATACCACTGAAGACAAAAGAGGTAGGTTGTTTTGGTTTATTCTCACATCATCATGAAAAGCACTTTGTTGACATGTGCTCTGTATATTTGAACATTTTTCCTAGTTATTTTGATCTAAGCTGAACCTGTGCTATAGGAAATACTAGTTTTAAGCCATGCTGATCTAGGTGGATTAAAATCTCCTGGTAACTTAGTTTACCTGATCTGGTGTTTTCAGTTCAGGTGCTTAAGTAATGATGATTGTCTAGATTAGGGATCAGCGACTTTTTCTGTAAATATTTTAGGGTTTCCTGGCTATGTCATTGAGGCTGCAACTACTCTGATGCAACATGAAAGCAGCCATAGGCAACACGTAGCTTAATGAGCATGGCTGTGTGTCAGTAGATCTCTATGGATACTGACATTTGGATTTCATATAATTTTTATGTATTATGAAATATTCTGTTTTTTATTTTTAAAAAATCATTTGAGAATATAAAAATCATTCTTAACTCATAGGCTGTACTGAGATGGGGGCCAGATTTGGCCCATGGCTATACTTTGTTGACCCCTGGTCTAAAATCTAGATGAATAAATAGGTGGGTTCTTCTAAAGCCTCGAAGTAAAACGTTTGCTTAATAATATAAGTTATGTTTAGTTCACTGTGTTGCAAAGTGTTCCAAGTCCAAAACCAGACATACAAGGATTATTTGTTTGCTTTCTTGCTTGCTTGCTTGCTTGATTTTTAAACCATAAATAGCTGTTTTAAAAATCATGTTAGCCCCAGTTAGATTACATTGAGTGTGCTATAGCAGAAAGAAGAATGAATTAGGAATTGGCATCTCACCCTGGATTCTAGCCCTGAATGGCTGCCTGTAATAAATGTACTGGGGAGGTGAGATTGGCTAATCACAGACATTCTCGGGCCTCATGTTCTTCATGTACAAAATGAAGGGTTGAATTAGATCAGTGGTTTTTCAAGAGTGAGGTCCAATGGAACCTTATTGGGTCACAGAGAGATTTTTATAATGAAACATTTGCTTTAACTCAGTGAACCAATATTTTCCAAGTGACATTACAGAAGCATATAGGGGTGCTTAGATAGACCTGTGGGATTTAGTATAACAAAGTATGCAAAAGTCCATAGACAGGGTTTCAAATCCAAATGGCAGCCCACCTTGAACAAGCTATTGTTTATCAAGTTTTGGTGTATCAAAGAATACCCTTAAATACCTGAAAAGGCTAAAATCTTCCCCACTTTTCCATCCTTATATCTGTGAAGCTGTCTTTTTTCATATATTTTAACGAAAACAACATATCACAACAGATCAAATGCAGAATAAAAGACTCTAGCTCTCTTCTACTAAGGTGGACAGTGAAGAGATTTACAGTAAATGTAAAACAGTGCTACTCTCCCAGTACAGTTTTTTGATTTGGAAAATATAGTTTGTTTTTTTTTGAAAATATGTTATTTATGAAAATATGTAATGGGTTTATTAATATTTTTAAGAGAATAAGTATTTAAAGATTTCTCAGTTTTTCATTCTAATATAGTAAATATTGATGGGTATTCCAATATAAACAAAAGCTCTTTGGAGTCGTTAGTAATTTTTAAGAGTGTAAAGGGATCTTCAAACAAAAGTCTGAGAGACACTGACTTAGATGCTCTCATGACTTTTTCAGTCCACAGTAATTTTGAAATTCTGAGTTATAATCAAACATGTTTTTGACAGGGAGCAGTCCTGAAGCCAGAGCTGAAAAGGGACCCAGTCAGTACGAGAGTCAAGTTAAAGATTGTCCCTCATCTCCTTCGTTCTAGACAAGCTGCGGAAACGTTCCCAGCTAACATTCAGGTAATTGGTCCTTTCCAGAGAAAAACGGCCTGTTTACAAGTTTTATGTCTGTTGAATTAGAGAAAGAACTGCGTTAGTGGATATTCAAGAGGTTGGTTGATGTACATAACAAGATTGAGATTTCATATTTTTTTCTGTCTCAAGTTTAGCTGCCGAAATGATTTAAAAATTTTTTATTGTAGAATATATACTGTATGTGGTTACCATTCGTCCTAAAGGTATGGTGACAGTCCCATTCAAGCTAGTGTTTTTCTGAGTGGCTTTTCTCCAAAAATGGTTTGGTTCCTCAAGAAATTTGGTTACTTAGGTGGAAACATGAGTCATCCTTAACGGAAACCCCATATGAAAGCAATAGCCAAATTCTCTTGATTCTGACTTCTTAATGTTTTCATCCTCCCTACACCTAATGCTGATACTAATTGAGAATGGCTTTTCTTATTTTGGTTATTGCCATACTCTTCTACCTGATTCCCTGCCTCGAATCTTGCCCACAGTCAGTCTGTTTTCTGTGTTGCCACTGGAGTTACTTTTGCTGTTGGAAATGCTTGTACTCTGTCTTGGTTTGAGATACAAACCCCTCCACAAAAGCCCTTGCCTATTATCCAAGTGATAACCAGTTCAGCTCTGGAGGCAGATAGATTTGAGTATGCAGTTGACGCTTGAACAGCATAGGTTTCAACTGCGTGGGTGCACTTATATGTGGATTTTTTTCAATGAATACTGTAAATATATTTTCCTTATGATTTTCTTTTTTCTCGCTTACTTTAAGAATACAGTATATATGGGCTGGCCGAGTGGCGCGTTGGTTAAGAGCTGGCTTGGGACGCCAGAGGGCCCCGGTTTGGATCCCACATATGAGGGCCAGTGACACTGCCCTCTACAGCCAAGATGCTGAACAACAGCTCAACCTGGAGCTGGGCTGCCATGAGTCGCCGGTGATGGCATAGGCTGCAGTCCCTGCTGCAGTGGGTTGCCATGGGCTACCGTGAGTGGCCAGCAGCCGCCGTGAGCGGCCGTCCAGAAGCCGGCGACTGATCTGCCTCGCCTGGGAAGAGCGCAATGATGGTGCCAACTTGGGCCAGTGAAGCAATGTCCTCCACAACTAGACTGAAGAACAAAAAAAAGGACAGCAACTTGTCTGTTCCCCTTCCCCCAATTCCCCAATAAAAAAAACTTAAAAAAAAAGAAAAAGAATACAGTATATAATACATGCAGCATATAAAATTTGTGTTAACTAATAACGTTATGTTATGGGTAAGGCTTCTTTCTGGTCAATAGGCTGTTCAGTTTTTAGGAGTTAAAAGTTAAGTGGATTTTCGACTGCACACATTTGCTTTTGATCTTAAATAAGCCTCGGTTTTTCTGCTTTCCTTTGAAACTTGTAAATCTGTAAAATGGGTGTAGCAGCAGCTACCTCATAGGAATGTTGTGAAGACTGAATGAGATAACAGAAAAGTTTAGAGCCCACGTAATTCTTGGTAAATGGTGAAAAGTTAGCAATTATTTCCCTTCTGGTCTCATATCTCACCACCTCTTTGCCTTGTACCCTATTCCCAATCAAAGATTGTTGCTCTTTAAAAATGCTGTTTTCACGGCTCTGTGTCTCCACTTATGATGCTCCCTCTGCCTGGCACAGCTCCCCTCCCCCTTCTATCTGAAATGTTCATTTCCCACGCCTCTTCTCTTTCAGTCCCAAAATAAGAACACCCTCCTTTTGTGTCCACTGTATGGTGTATGTAGGCTTCTGTCTTAGCATCGCTCCTTTTTTTTTTTTCTTTTTAAAAAGATTTTATTGGGGAATTGGGGAAGTGGAAGAGTGCTGGGAATAGTGCTGGGAAGGGTGACAGACAAGTTGCTGTCTTTTTGTTCTTCAGTCTAGTTGTGGAGGACGTCGCTTCACTGGCCCATGTTGGTATTATCATTGCGCTCTTCCTGGCTGAAGCAGATTGGTCCCGGCCACTGGATGGCTGCTCACGCTGGCTGCTGGCCACTCACGGTAGCTCATGGCAGCCCACTGCAGCCCCACTGCAGCAGGGGCTGCAGCCTATGCGGGCGACTCACGGCCGCCCAACTCCAGGTTGAGCTGTTGTTCACCATCTTAGCTATAGAGGGCAGTGTCACTGGCCCTCATGTGGGATCTGAACCTGGGCCCTGCTGCTCAGAGCTGGCGTCCCAAGCCAACTCTTAACCAACCATGCCAGTCGGTCAATCCGCATCTCTTCTTCTTAAGGCTTATTTGTTTAAGTGGCTGCTTCCTCTTTCTAGATGAAACTTTTGTTCCCAGTATCTGGTACTCTAATATTTGACAAATTTCAGGTATTCTGTTCTGTGTCTCCATAAACATAAAATTATCACAGAGCTTCTTCCATTTCACTTTACAAGCAGTTTCCCAGACAGGGTCTTGATAATTTTTGTTCAGAAAATTTGGTTGTGGTAGCACTACATTACATAATAATCAGCTAGAATCTTGTGACAAAATATTCATAGGCATTCTGTAAGGTGTACACTTTTATTTGTAGTTATTTATGTTTTTAAAATAAGCCCAGCTAAAATTTTGTACATTCAAAGACAAACTCACTGTCCATCACCCATAAACAGTCTTCCTTTTTTCATATTCCCATTTCTAATGATGGCATTACTGTTCTCCTACATCCTTGGCGCCACTCCTTTCTTCTTCCCCTGGCCATCTCAGATTCCTTTATGGTGTCATTCACATGAGCCTTTTCTTTCCAGATACCAGTACCTTTAGTTAGTTAGGCACATGTTATCTCACCTTGATTTTGAACATATGAAAGCATCTAACACAATTCTTCATGTATAATGTGTATCCTATGAGTTTTATTTTCCCCCCCACAAAATACTAGTATTGTAGTGACTCCTTTGCTTCTATTACCTTACTATATTATTCTATAGTCTATAGAATATATTCTATAATACAGCATTATCACATTAATTTTCTAAAAAATGTCTTTTCCAAATAATGTAGCATTTGATTATATATTGTCCTATATCATTTTTAATGTATGTATTTGACTCCCCAATGAGATAAAGTGCCCTGATAGCATTGCTTGTCTTTTTTGTATCTCACAGTACCTTGTGTGATTATATAGCAGATGCTCAATGCTATGTCCAGTCACATGTCATTGTTAAGTAAGACCAGAATACTGTTAGTAGTTTTAGCAAACAGCATGGAAATTTTTTGTTTTTCTTATCTTTCCCATAAAAAATAGTTTGAGGAGTTTAGATTTCTTTGATGTTGATGTTAATATCTAAACCCTCTGGATGCTGCACAGGCCTCATCTATGTGATTTTTTTTTTTTTTTTGCCATCTAGACATGACTACACAACATGTGGAGCCACCTATACCCCGACTATACACTCGTAGAATGCTTTCATTTTGATATTTTTCCATGAAGCTTTTTTATAACTTGTTCTGAATGACTATGTAATTAAGAAACCTGACTCCCCCAAAATGATCTTACCTGCTAGTGTTTTCTGTGCAATATTGAGTGGCAGCGTGGACTCTAAATAAGTGACTTCCTAGTGGTAGACTCACAAGTTTTGCAGACTTGTGAGATCAACATTGTGTTTGTTACTCCACAGACTATTGATTGGAGTTACTGATTGCATTTTAAGTTTCTCAGCTCAAATGCGTGTATGTATTAAAAAGAACCGCATTAATTTTGAAGAGCACGGTGTAGTGCAAAAGGTGTGCTGTTGAATCCTAATATTTGAGAATAGTCGGTTGCTATTTTTATTAACTGGTGTTCTTGACCAAATTGTTTCTTTCTCGTAGGTGGTGTATGATGGACTTTTTGGTACAAATACAAATTCAAAATTAAGAACATTATCCCTGCAATTTGTGCATCACATTTGTATAACGTAAGTTTTTGGAACTAGTTGACTGTAAAGTTTTCAAGCTATTAGAGTGATCAAATGATTCAAGTATATCTTGCTTAGAAAGAAATCATATTCTCCTTTAAAAATTTTCAGATTTTAATAGATTATTTTAACTTATCTCTCTAATTATTTTAAATAATTATCTGAAAAGATACGTAATTACAAGAGTCTTATCTTGTTTTGTGTATGTGTACTATTTTTTTTAAAGTTGTCCAGAAATCAAGATTAAGCCATTAGGTCCAATGCTTTTGAATGGCCTCACCAAGCTCATCAATGAATATAAAGAAGTAAGTGAATTGTCTTTTAACTTTTGTTAACATTTTATATTTTTAAGTATTTTCTGTTATAAGCTTTTCTGGTCTACATGATGGTTTAGTAAGTTATGGTTTGCTATTCCATCATTTCTTAACATTTTTACTTGAAATGGTATAGATTTCAGAAATTACTGCCATCTTTTGCTTTGTTTTGGAAATAAGTGTTAAAAGGTGATAGGAATCTTGAAGCGTCTTATCACTTCTTTAAATAACATTTTAAAAGCAAATACTTGTACATTTTACTTTTAGACACTGCAAAAAATGGAATGAAAAGAATTAGTTAAATTTTATTATTTATTTACATATGAATCTATCTGGATTTGTTTATATTGAGAAACTCAGTCACATTGGTGCTGACATTTTACTGATTCAGAATTCTGTCAAAACATGCATTCAGTAAATTTTTGATTCCTTAAGCTAAGTGGGATGAGGATTCTTTGGATTGTACAGTTTTGTCTCCTGTTTGCCCTTGCCACTCTCACCATCTCCAGTAGTATTTCAGGGGAATTTGCTTAAAAAGTAAGGTTTAAAAAACTCCAGTTAGCACTACATTTCTAAGTCTTAGCTAAATATGAATGCATATTTGCATAGTATAGTGATTAAGATTTTGCCATTTGGAGTTAGAATTGAATTTGAATCCAAGTTTTGTTTTTTGGTGTGTTACTTAAATTTTTTGGACCTTTGTTCTTTATTAGAAAAATGAAAATAATAACACCATTTAATTGGGTATGGTGAAGATTAAATGAGATATACACATACATTACTCAGCATAGTGAAGGCACACTCGTAGATGTTACTGTTAGTGAAAAGCTGTTCATTCATTGTGCAGTTGTGCTTTGGGGGCAGTGTTAAGGCCCTGTCTCTTATCTTTTCCTATTGAATAGTGCTTGCATGATTTTTAAGGCCTAGGGAACCTTGCACATTATTTTTATGGCATAGACAGTCAGATGCTTTGGGTGTAGAAATAAAAATGCTTTGGGGCTTTTAGGGAGAATCTTTCTATTTAAAAATAGATTAGAGAAGCCAGATAAATCACAGGGCCCTAATCCTTTGCCTCCAGATGACACCACGCCTTCCCAATGATGAACCCATTAAAATGGATCTGAAAGAGTGGCCATTTAGGTGTGGAAGAGTGACTCCTATGTTAAATGTATAAACCAACTCACAGAAGCGTTCCTTTGGTTTAGAGTAGTTAGTCACACTATTGGTTTGCATAATACCATGTAAAATTCTGTTTGAGGAGGCAGTCTCACTAATTCACTTGATGACTGATCCCTTTTAATTTTTTATAGTGGAAGATATGAGTGGAAGCTGTTTATTACAGTGCAGATTTTAAAAGAATCGCCCCTCCCAGCTTACTGCCATTTTGGCTGAAAGAGGGAGGATCCTAGCCAGTTGGATGAGGGGTGAAGTTTCTAATAAGTTAACAAGGTGTTTTCCTAGTGTGTTAAAGATGAATTTTGGTGTTTGCAGGTTACGTGGTGTTGAAAATATTCTGAACTTAGCACCAGCTAAGAAAGCCTTTTCATATATGCCCCTTTTGGAGTGAGTTGGGGATGCAAGATTTTGTTTGTTTTTCCTTTTAGTAGTGTGATGAATTCTGGGTTTGGACTTTCTCTGTTTGTTTTGTTCAGTTGCTAATATCATGTAGTTAGGCAGAGTGAGACCAGGTTTAGCAAGGAGTGAAATAATGCATGTAACTGCAGCAAAAAGGTTTTGCCGTTTACTGTGTTTTTTGTTTTGTCTGTTTTTGTTCTTTTTTTTCTTCTTAATTCCAAGGACCCTAAGCTACTGTCAATGGCATATTCAGCTGTTGGAAAACTCTCCAGGTGAGTAAACCCTTTTTCAGTGAGAGATACCCTGTTGATAAACTAAGAAAAATTACGTGGCATTTAATAATGGATGGAAAATAAGTTTGTTGTGATTCTGAAAGGAAATGTATTCAATGGCCGTAGGTTGTTTAGAAATGTCTTCCTTGTAGAAAGAAAATGATGGGAGACATTTTAACTTATATTTGACGATAATGTTACTATATTAAATGGTAGTCTTGAAATGAGATTTTGACTGGATTGTGTCATAATTGGTTACATTTCTTGTATCCTAGAGACTTGTTCTTGTTGCTACTTACTAGTCTTTATAATCCCCATAATCAAGGTTTTGTTAGTGATTCTCTTTTCCGATAGTGTTATGTTATGATTCTGAGTGGCCCTGTTTCCAAAGATGGATTTCTTTTCTTCTGCTTATTAAATGACTTCTTTCTTCCAGTACCTCCTTGTTTCCTCTTTCTTCACTGTATTTCAAAGCAGGGAGATAAAGGTGCAGCATCCTCGCGGCACCAGGTGCTGCTTCCACCCTGGGCGCAGGTTCTGTTCGGCCTGTAGACTAGGTCTTGCCCTTCTCTGCTATGCAGGGGGAGGAGCTTTGGGGCTCAGAAGAAAAGCCACCCCAGATCACCTGATACAGTGCAGGACTGTCAGCAAACCTTGTCCCTTGTCTGTTGGCATGAAGTAACAAAACCCCTTATTATGCTAGCCTTTAGTTTAAATACCAATGTGGTATTAATTATCTATTTTCTTTATATTAAAATCAGAAATGTTAACTGAATGCATGGAATATAATGAAGAGAATATTTGGATAATGGGTATATTAATCAAAGGCTACTTGGATTAGACAAAATATTTGGCTCTTTGGGTAGATAATTTAATGATGCTGACATGGTGTTCAGAGATGAAAATGCAAGCTCAGGAAAATTTGTGTTTAATTTCGTTGTCTTCCGTCTCCTGGAGATTTATGATAGTAACGGTAGTTTGGTGTCCTCTTACAGCCGAATGCCCCATTTATTCACTAAGGATATAGCTCTTGTGCAGCAGCTTTTTGAAGCCCTATGTAAGGTGAGGAAACACCTGGCAAGTTTATGATTTCTGTTTGGATGCTCACTTGGAAACCCAACAGGGAAGGAAACGCTTTTTATTATCTTTACAGGAAGAGCCCGAGACTCGACTTGCTATTCAAGAAGCGTTATCTATGATGGTTGGAGCTTACAGTACTTTGGAAGGAGCACAGAGAACCCTCATGGAGGCACTTGTGGCTTCATACCTAATAAAGGTAGGTCCAGCTGTGTGAACTACAGTGGTTGGTAGTATGTGCATTTTACATTTTTAAGAACAAAATTTGAAATGCTTTTCTCCTTAACTATCATGATAATTAAGAGGACTGTTTGCTTTCACTTGGACTGTGATTTATGATCTACCTAGTTTTAATTCCTCGTGATAGAAATCTAGTTTTAGGGGAGGAGGAGTAGTGATTATCACAGAGGCTTTATGTTTAAAGCCCTCCATGTTGGAAAGCTGTTGTTAATGTTATTTTTCCACGTTGGAAGTATTTTGTCATAACTGGTAGCTGTGTGATACGGCGCATTGGGGGTAGAGTTCTGTAGGTAACATTGGGGGAGAAAAGCAGAGGGAAAGAAAGACAAATTTTATGTATTAAAATGAGTCTGTAGAAAGTAAGCCAGTATGATCATACATACTCCTTTTTTCTTTATTTGGTTTTTATGAACATTTATAGGAGAATTTTGAATAGCTATACTTATATACACATATATACACATACGTATATATACATACCATATAATACACAATATAAAATACGATATTATGTATTTGCTTCAGTCAGTTTTTGTCGTCCATTTCTAGGATTAGAAAGAGAGGGAGATTAGAAGAAGGAGCTTGGCTTCGGTGAGCGCACCAGGGTGTACAGGCCAGGGGTGCAGGCAGGCTGACGCTGTGAAACGGGGGATGGTGGCAACCAACCCGGGGTGGGCACCTGGACTCGAAGAGGCACCTGCGAGGGTTTGGGGGGCCAAGGACAGAGAGATGAGCACTCAGTTGAGCCTGCTGGGGCAAGAGGGGCGAGAAGAGAAGAGGCGTCACAGTTCGGAGAGAAAGACGAGGACAAAATCAGGATTAGATGAAAGGGGATTTCAGGAGGTGGCTGGAAGTGATGAGAAGTTGATAACAGGAATGGAAATTTCGGTGGTAGCAGGAACGTGGGGGGATCATATGGTGGAGGAAACTATGGTTCTAGAGGAAGTGGGGTTATGGAGGGAGAAGCCGATTTTGAGCTTCTTCCCATTAGCCAGGGGCTTCACTGTATAAATAGGAGAGGATGAGAGGCCGGAGGTGACAGAACAGCTTCAGGTTATTGAAATAGCAATGCCAAGATAACTCTTAGTCATGCATAAGTATGCAGTGATGTGGCAGGAGATACCAGAGCAGATGCAGAGAGCGGCTTTATGAATGGATTAGATTATTTAATAACATTACTTTACTGTGGAGGAAGGATTATAAAAAAAGCCTTCGAGACAATGTCTAGCTTTTTAATTGTTTCTTTCTAGCGGTCATTGTAAGAATGGAGAAGCATTCCTTCTTTGGTAATGTTACATTTGTAAGTTTCAGGTGATAATGTGAAACATTTTTCTCAAAGTTTTGAAAAGCTATTAGCCAGGATCATGGTGCAATAAGACACAATGTTTTTCCTTTAAAAAAATTTAAGTGCATGTGGAGAGTTAAGCTGTTGTACATTTATGATTTAATAATAATAAAAAAGGAATGATGTCAGAAGTGTCGATGAGATTAATATAAATTGCATTTTCTGAGATTTGGCTGGCATATATTTATATTGAGGGAATTATTAAAGGTTCAGAAAGGTATCTGATTTCTATTAAAATATGACAGGATAGTTACGCACACTCAGAAAGCTAATATCACTATCCAATGACTTTTAAACAACATGATTAAAGATCTTGGACAAATTATTTGTCTTAATTTTTAGACATATTTATTGAAATAGCAACTTCAATTTTGATTGTTTACAATTAAGATGATTTATCTTGACTGGAATGAGTTGTTGGTAATTTTTTTTGTAAATCCGTCTGTGTTTTTTTTTTTTGTGTGTGTGTGTATGTGTGTGTGTTTATGTGTCACATAGCCTGAAGTTCAAGTTCGACAAGTGGCTGTGAAATTTGCCAGCACAGTGTTTCCCTCAGATCATATACCTTCCAGATATTTGCTCTTACTAGCTGCAGGAGATCCGTAAGTTTCAAAAGGTGTTAATTTGAATTTGGGTTCATTTTAAATTTGTTTGAAAATTACTAAAATTTATGTTGTTTGTAATGTTGGTCTATGGAATTTAGAAGCAATTTATTTTTTATTTTTTAAAATTATTTTTTATTGTGAAATACAGCTGTACAACACAGTGCAATAGTTATACTTTTTACCCCTCGAGGTGACAACCCCCGTCCCCCCATCCGCTGCCCCACTTCCCCCCCAATATCATACATATCTATTACAATTCCCTTGACTCCACTCCCACACTATACTCCACATCCCGTGACCATATATATTTTTTTTTTTTTTTCACTTATAGTTGACATACAATATTATACAACATCAGCTTCAGGTGTACAGTGCAGCGCTCTAGAAGCAATTTATTAAAGAGATAAAAGTATGGCCCTTGATGATACAGACCTGTAGTCATAGCTTGTCTTGTTTTAACCTGTGGGTAAAATTCAAAGATGCAAGTCACATGACTCTTTAAATATCATGAAATTTCCACAAAGAGATAATTTCTTATAATGTATCTTATGGCTCTTTGCTTAGATAGCCAAGAATATATATTTAAGACATTTCCTCAGATCCCCAACTGCCAAATAAAATGGTTGTTCTTAATCTTCAAATGATTATTTTCCAATTGGTGTAATTCATTTTTTTTTTTTTTTNGGGGGGCGCATGGTCTCCTCAGCTCCTGGAGCTTCAATCTATGCGGGAGTCCCCTGGGTTTTTGACCTTCAGCCCCAAGCCAACTTGGGAGGAAATGGCCAAGGACTCCTCAGGTGTTCCAGCAGCACCTAAATCCTCCTTCCCTCCCCGGTGGGTCTCTCCTCCCTCCTGCAATCGGGGAGGTTTGCTTGCTTAGAGAATAAGGAGACGGGCTCTGCGTCTTCTGACCAATCTGTTGTCCATGCTAAAAACTTTGAGCCCCCCTTCCCCCAACCTAGAGTTTGGGGTTTTGAAATTTAAAATCCTAGGCCCTTGCATCTCAAAGCCTGTCCTGGGAAACTCCCCTAGGCAATGAATGTAGCTGATTTAAGGAAAGCAGGTAAGGAAATTCAAGAAAAAGTCCTCAATCAAACCTGAAGTTTTGTCTGGCTTGCATGCTAGTGTGATAGCATAAATTTCCAAATATACGATTTAAAATAAAGCAATACCTAAGAATATTTATATTAGGCAATTAAAATAATTAATGAAACGTTCTCTCTTTTTTTTTTTTTTTTTTAAAGATTTTTTTTTTGGAGTGGGGGGGACGTTGCTTCACTGGCCCAAGTTGGCACCATCATTGTGCTCTTCCCGGGTGAGGCAGATCAGTCGCCGGCTTCTGGACGGCGGCTCACGGTGGCTGCTGGCCACTCACGCTGGCTGCTGGCCACTCACGCTGGCTTCTGTACACAGTAGCCCATGGCAACCCACTGCAGCAGGGGCTGCAGCCTACGCCGTTGCCGGCGACTCAGGGCAGCCCAGCTCCAGGTTGAGCTGTTGTTCAGCATCTTAGCTGTGGAGGGCAGTGTCACTGGCCCTCATATGTGGGAAACGAACCGGGCCCTCTGGCATCCCAAGCCAGTTCTTAACCATTGCGCCACTCGGCCGGCCCTCATTTTTTATTCTTGTTTGTCTTTCTGAAAGACGAGAAGAAGTTCATGGAGAAGCACAACGAGTATTAAGGTGTCTTCCTGGTAAAAACAAAAAAGAAAGTGCTTCTAAGCAGATGCCTTCTTTCCCGGAAATGGTATATTATATCCAAGAAAAGGTATGGCATTTAACTTCAGATGATTACTTTTTTTGTTTTTTTTTGTTTTGTTTTTTGTTTTTAGCTGAGCCATCCTGCTACCTGTTGGCAGCTCAACGGCTGCTCAGCTCAGGCTGGACTCGAACCGCTGTTGCTCAGAGCTCAAACTCTTGAGTGAGCTCTTAACCAACTGAGCCACTCGGCCGGCCCTAACTTCAGATTAGTTTGAGTTATATAATGGATGATGAAAATAAACATACATGTTTAAGTGACACATTTAAAATGTTATCACTAAATGCTGAGTAGTAGTAAAGTTTTTAACAATGTTAATATGTACAATAAGCAGAAGGTACAAAACGAGGAGAAAAATATAATTCTCAAATGTAACTGATCTGTTTTGCCCAAATCTGAATTGCTTACAATTTTATGTTCTTCAACATTTTGGCTGTGTTTAAAATTGTTTCCCTTGGTAGAACATGCTTAAAAATACATTTCCCTTTTATTTTTAAAGGCCTTATTTAGGGCACCATAAGTTTAAGAATGCTTCAGGGAGCAGCTCACATTTTTTCCACCCTTGTCATAAGAGAACATCACATCTGCTTTTGCAAGTCTCTTGTTTTTGCACAGTGTTCTCCGCTGGTAGATCAGACAGAGTATTGGCATCGTGACCTCCAGCCCTGACCCTGTTCCACTTTTTACATCAGTGTTTCTTTGAGTATGCTGGGGATAGATACCTTACTGCCTTCCACTCTACTGGTGGTCCTAGCTTTTTGCTCATAGACATCTGAAGTGGGTAGGAGTTCAGTGCTAAGCAACCATGATTCTCTTCTTCATAGCATGGTTATATTTGTGGTCAGAAGATGTTTTGTGCTCATATTTTCCTCTTGCCTCCATTATTAATAAAAATAACTGGCACTCAGTGGCCTGGGGTGACTGTGTCAGTAGGTGCCTGAAGTAGGTTTATTCTTTTTCTTTTTATTTTTTGTAAAGGTTTTATTGGAGAATTGGTTGAGGGGAACAGCACTGGGGAATTGGGGGAAGGGGAACAGACAAGTTGCTGTCCTTTTGTTCTTCAGTCTAGTTGTGGAGGA